GAACTGAAATGAAGAATAATTTACAGGGAATCAACAGTAGAGTAGAGAATGCTGAAAATCAAATCAGCAGTTTGGAACATGAAGAAACAAAAAACATCCAACTAGAAGAGCAAAAAGAAAAAAGAATCCAGAAATATGAAGATAGTATAAGGAGTCTCTGGGACAACTTCAAAAGGCCCAACATTTGTATTATTGGGGTGCCAGAAAGAGAGCAAGAAATAGAAAACCTATTTGAAAAAATGACAGAAAACTTCACCTACCTGGGGAAAGAAATAGACTTACAAGTCCAGGAGGCACAGAGGGTCCCAAACAAGAGGAACCCAAAGAGACCCACAGCAAGACACACCATAATTAAAATGCCAAAGGTTAAAGACAAAGAGAGAATCTTAAAAGCAGCAAGAGAAAAGCAGTTAGTTACCTAAAGGGGGCACCCATACGACTGTCAGCTGATTTCTCAACAGAAACTTTGCAGGCCAGGAGGAAGTGGCAAGAAATATTCAAAGTGATGAAAAACATGGAACTACAACCAAGATTGCTCTACCCAGCAAAGCTATCATTTAGAACTGAAGGTCAGATAAAGAGCTTCACAGATAAGAAAAAGCTAAAGGAGTTCATCACCACCAGATGAGCACTACAGGAAATGTTGAAGGGTCTTCTTTAAGAAGAAGCTAATGAACAAAACAATCTGACAAACTAAATAGATTCAGAGACACTGACGCAGGAAACAGACGATCATATTTCAGAGGAAAGAAGGAAGGGGGTGGGAAGAGATTAACCAAAGAAGTTATATGCATATATGCATAACTCATGAACACAGTCAATAATGGGGTGAAGGCCTGGGGAAGGTATGGGAGCGAGGTGGAGGGGGTCAATTGGAGGGAAAAAATGGGACACCTGTAATACTTTCAACAATAAAGATTTTAAAAAAAAAGAATAGAATTATGTCTAAAAAATGTACATACCTTAATTTAAAAATACTTTATTGCTAAAAAATGTTAACCATCATCTAAGCCTTCCAGAAGTTCTTTTTGTTGGTGGAGGGTCTTACCTTCAATTTGTAAAAACACAGTATCTGTGAAGTGCAATAAAGTGAAGCCCAATTAAAGAGGTCTGCCTGTACTGAAGATTCAGTCAGACTAGGGAATCCGACTCACTTTACACGGCCTCCTGCAGACAAACACAGTAACCCCTTTAACACCTCAGCAAAACGAAGAGAACTTACATCAGTGATTCTGCAGAGAGCCCTGATGGCCGGGCCTCGGTAGATATCTTCCTTTCCTGTCATGTCCTTGGTCAGACTAAGAAAAATCAGATTAGTTACTATGAGATCAATTAGTCAAGTCCTCTCTTGTGGAGTCCAGCCCTAGCTAATTCCAATTGTCCCCATAATTATCTCAACACAGTTGATTCAACAAATGTTTACTGAGTGTCTTCTTTAGATAAATATTAAAACTACTGGGTAAAAGACTGTTCTAAATCCTAAGAATACAGCAGTGAGCAAGACAAAGTCTTTGCCTAACGGAGCTTATGTTCTAGTGGTAACAGAGAGATGATAATCACATGAATCATATTTTAGATACTGATAATTGGCAAAAAAAAAAAACTAAGATGATGGTATACAGAGCCCTGGGCTGAAACCTCCACAAATCCTGAAACCCATCAGACTAGACGTAACTCTTTAAAAGAAATGGTCTCAAATGATGAACTCATGGGGTCTCTCTCTCAGCCATAGCTTTCTAAAATAACAACTGGCAATGACCTCAGACCCTTCTGTTGAATTTCAAAAACAGAGTGTATGTGGACTGAGCCAAAAAATTCCACATCCATACTTTAAAGAGGTGTTTGGCCTTTATATTACTCACCCTATTACCCTCCCTTGCCTCGTCCGCATGCACTGACGATACCCCCAACATGACTACCCCTCTCGTCCCCTGCTCAGCTCCCCTCACCCAACCAAAATGGCCACAACTCCAACTTACTCCATCAGGGCACCAAGAAGAGAAAGTTGTGAATAACTGTTACAGTCCTTCGACTTCGTTCTTTTTTCAATTATAAAAATACTTCATTTATATAACAGGTACACTTTCAAAATATTCAGAAAGGTATAAAATATCAAGCCTAAGTTTCCCCTCATCTCCCCTCGCCTGCAGTACCACTCGACGAGAGATAACCCTGTGAACAGTGGCTTATGTTTTCTTAAGGAAGTTTTAAAAATACATGGAAAACAACAGAGACTTATTAAAATGCATGCCAATGGGTCTCCACCCTTCTGGCACCTTCTTTTTTACTTAATAACATAACTTGAGAATCTTTCCAATTGGCAGATTGTTTTTAATTTTAGATATCTACATATTTTTAAATAACCAAATGTATCTAGTGGTGGCAGTACCACACCCGGGCCTGCATCCTGGGAGAGAATTCCCCAGCCTCACAGGGTCCTATCTGGAACCTACTAGGCCAGTGAGCATTCAGGAGGCTATCCCATCATTGCACTAGGCTGTCTGCTCCTAGAAGCAGAATATGGTAAAACTACTGGGTCTCCTAGTCATGAGCCCACTGTCACACCACTTCCGTCATGAAATGAATGGCAGTGTCGTAGAGAACACCATGGCAATCAATTACGAATAACTGTTTGTACCACAACTTGGACTACTGCAAACCCGATTCATCCTATATTTTATGGTGGTTTTCCCACGTAATTTTTAAAAATTATATAGTCAAATTTTTCAATCTTTTCTTTCATTGCCTCAGGAATTAACAAAGCTTTTCCCTACACCAACATTAAAGAGGATACGCTTGTGTTTTCTTCTAGTACTTATATGGTTTTACTTTTAAATTTATATTCCTTAACCATTTAGAGTTCACTCATGTGTATGATGTGAAATATGGATCTAATTTTATCTTTTCCAAGTGGCTACTCAGTTGTCCCAGCATCATGTATTAAAAAGTACAAGTTTACCCCAGTGATTAGAGATGCCACCTTTGTCATATACTAAATTTCTACATATGTTTGGGTCTAATTCTGTACTTTCCATTTGTATCAGAGAATTCTGGAAAATGAAGATCAACAGGGCAGAGGTGGCACATGACAAAGCCATCACACATTTTATTCCATTGGTCTATTTATCTGTTCATGTGTCAGTACCACCACACTGTTTTAACTTTATAGGCTTAGTATTTACAGACTGGGAGAGTTAGTACTCCCTAGTGGTTTTCCTTTTCCAGTTACTTCTTACCTATTCTTACATGTTTGTTTTTGTACATGAACTTTAGTATCAAATTTTCTAACTCCATAATAGAGCCCATTGGTTTTTTATTGGGATTGCACTGAATTTATAAATTGCTTTAGGGAGGACTGAAATTTTTATAATGTTGAATTGACCTATCCAAAGGCAGTGGATATCTTTACATTTGTTCAAGTGTACTTTGAGTCTTTCAGGGTTTAAATTTTTTTTTACTTCATATAAGTTTTGTGCATTTATTGTCAAAATTATTCCTAAGTATTTAATCTTCTGTGCTGTCGTAACAGGACTGTGTGTTGTTTGTCTACATGAAGGCGATTGATTTTTATATGTTAATTTTATATCCTGTGGGAATACATCTGTGTCACTAGAGCACCTGAAGAAGAGGAGAAAAGGGACTGATACCAAAAAATAATTTTTTTGAAGAAATAATGGTTGAAAACTTCCAAATTTGCAGAAAGACATAACGTTATGGTTTCAAGAAGCTTAATGAAACATATACAAGATAAATTCCAAGGATCGCACACCCAGATATATAACACAACTGCTGAAAACAAAAAATAAAGGAAAACTCTTGAAAGCATTAAAAGAAAAATGACACATTACAGAAAGGGAACTTTGGTTGAAAATACTATAGAGTTCTCATCAGAAAACACAAATGTCAGAGGACAAGGAATGGAACACCATCTTTAAAATGCTGAAACAAAAGAAACTGAAAACCTAGAATTCCATAGCTACTAAAAATCTCTTTCAGTAGTGAAAGTGAAATAAAGACTTCCTCAGATGGCCTGGCTGGCTTGGCTCAGTGGTTGAGCATCAATCTACGAATCAGGAGGTCACAGTTCGATTCCTGGTCAGGGCACATGCCTGGGTTACGGCCTTGATTCCCAGTACGGGAAGTGCAGGAGGCAGCCGATCAATAACTCTCATCATTGATGTTTCTACCTCTCCCTCTCCCTTCCTCTCTCTGAAATCAATAAACACATTTTTTTAAAAAAGGGGGACTTCCTCAGATAAGGTAAACTAAGAGTATTTGTCACCATTAAATATTAAATGAAATATTTCTAAGGAAATTATTAAATGAAGTGTTTCAGGCTGAAGGGAAATGATACTAGAATGATCCCTAGAGCAACCAATACAACAACATCTTTATAGGACTGAAAGAAAACAAACAAACCTGTCAACCCAGACTGCTGCGCCCAACAAAAGAGTTTTCAAAACCAGGAGGCTTATTTTACTTTTTTCTCTTTGTTCTTAGTTGGGATTATTTCACTAATTATCTTCAAGCTCATTGCCCCTTTCCTCTGACAAAGCTATTCTATTATTGAGGCCAGTCTGAATTTTATTTTACATATTGTACTTTGTCATTTCTAAGATTTTCATTTGGTTCTTTTTTTACAGATAGCTCTCTGCCAACAATTCCTTTCTATTCATTTCAAGAGTGTTCACCTTTATGAAACATGGTTACATTAGCTGCTTTAAAGTATCCCAAAATCTAGGTTATTTGGGTGTTGGCATCTATTGATTATCTTTTCCCTTGAGAACTGGTCAGACTTTCCTGGTTGACTAATATTGGATGTACATTTTTTATATTATCATGAGACTCTGGGTCCGGGTAAAAGCCTCTGGGAAATGTTGACTTTTGATTCCGCAAGCAATCCACCCAGTTAGCTTCAGATCACAACTTCTGCCTGGCCTTTTATGCATGTCACTCTTCCCACACTGTCTCTCAAGGACCCCTTTCCCCAGTTCTTCTAGTCAGGGATATGGGATTCTCTCAGTTTTAGTTCCCGGTGCAGCTGCATAATTCTGTGCAAGTGGATCCTCAAGTCAGAAGTAGAAGACAGAAATAAATGTGCATTTCCCCCCCATTCTTCACACAAAAGGGCACCTTTTCTCAGGGACAGGTTTGATCTCAGGGTTTTTAGGTGTCTGCATCACTGGTCACACCATAGTGAAGTCGGTTCACAAATGGGGCTGGCCTCAGGGCAGTACCGGAGAGTAACTAGAGAAAAACCAAAACAAACAAGGATTCGCCCCATGCTCTCCAGCTTACAGGGGCCTTTTACTCAATCTGGTGCTCAGCCTCAGGGACGGGCTCCTGTCTTGGTTGATCCTGCCTGATACACAGTTCCCCCATTCACCCTAGCCTTGGGTCAAATACAGAGTATAAAGAGGAAAAATAACCACGAAACTCACTGTTACCATACTGGTTATTCATTAATTACTGTTTTCTCTCCCCATATTCACCTGCTATTACTGTATTCACTTTTCTGAGGCCGTAGGCAACTGCTTTTTGTACTTGTCTGGACAGTTTGTTGTAACCACTGGGAGAGTTAGCCTGTAGTGGCCTTACTCGATATCGGCTGTAACTGGAAGTCCCCCAGCTTCCCTTCATTCACTGTTACTCATTTCATTGAGCTTTGGAGAAGGGAGATTGAAGACTTGGCATCATAGTCGGCATCATTCCTCAAAAGTCTTCCACAATTTTATTTTAAAAAACAATAGGTATTAATCCAACCAGACTAGGACAGTCTCCTTGTCAACTGGGCATGAGAGGGAAGGGAAGAAGCACACAGAAAGGTTCTCAACACCCGTTACACCCACTGTGACGGTTCATTTTACATCTTAACTTGACTGGGCTAAGGGATACCCAGAAAGCTGGTAAGACATTACTGTGGGGTGTGTTCCTAAGGGTGTTTCCAGAAGAGATTAGCATTTGAACTGGTAGTCCCAGTAAAGAAGACTGTCCTCGCCAATGCCGGCGAGCATCATCCAGTCCACCAAGGGCCTGAACAGAACAAAAAGGGCGAGGAGAGAATTTGCTTTCCACTTAAGCTGGGACGTCAGATTCTCCTGCCCTCACACATCAGTACTTCTGGAATCCAGGCCTTCGGGTTTGGACAGGAACTACTCCACTGGCTTTCCTGGGGCCCCAGCTTGCAACAGCAGACCATGGGACTTAGCCTCCATAATCATGTGAGCCAATACCTCCTAATAAATTTCTTTCCATATATCCATATATCTATAGGCTGTCTATACATATCTATAGGATA